AAATCTATCTGAAAATTAAGATTTTCCAGCATGCCTTATTTTTCAACTAATACTTATTATATGATATTGGTTATTGTTTAAATGTGAATCATAAGGAAAAATTGTGTTTTTTAAATTGTGTTTAAACAATAACCAATAAAAATTTTATTGGTTATTGTTTAAATGTGAATCATAAGTCACAAATGGAGGTTGCTAGTTTAGATTATTTTGTTGCTTATATAAGAAAAATTGCTTATGAGTTTTTAGATGAAAGAAATGTTACTTTAACTTATTTTTAAAATATTTTAAATAGGAAAAAGTAATGATTATATAGTCAATGAATATATTTAATTTAAGTCTAGCAAATAAGAAATAATTAAAAATATTTGTTTTTTTCTCACTTAAAAGTAATTTTTCCAGAAATAAAAAGCTTTTATTATTGAACTTTTGTAAAATAAAATTTTTTTAATTAAAAAAAAATTGTAAAATCATTAATTAAAAGCATTTGTGTTGCAAATTATAAATATTATAAGATTTTACTTAACTATATTATTATTATTATTATTATTATTATTATTAAGGTTTACAAATTGGATTTGTATAGGCATGAAATGCCTGTCAACCTGTCTTATGATTACTATATAAATATACTAGTCATAAATTGTTTTTTCTTCTTTTAGATAATTGTCGAGTTTGTTTTTAAAATTGCTTACGGAAGTAGCATTTACAACGTCATCTGGGAGGGAGTTCCATTTGTTGATTACTCGTAAGGTGAAAAAGTATTGACGAGAAGCTAGACGAGAATAAGGTTTTTCTAGTTTAAATGAATGTCCTCTTGTAATAGAATTTATAATTGTTTTTGGAAAGATCGTTTGACAGTTGTAGTAGTTGTTTAGCCATTTATAGACGTTTATTAAATCAGCCCGGATTAGTCTGTATCTTATGGTTGTCATATTAAGTTTCAATAGTCTTTGGTGATATGTTAGACTTTTTAATCCATGAACTGATTTAGATGCTCTTCTGAGTATATTTTCAACTTGTCGTTTGTCTTTCAGTAGACGAGGGTTATATACAGAACCACAATATTCTAAATATGGTCGTACTAGTGCTGAAAACAGTCTTTTAAAACAAAATGAATTTAGATAAGAGAAAGATCTTTTTATTAGAAATAGCATCTGCATTGCCCTATTAACTTGAGTAGAGGTATGTTTAGAAAATAGCAAGTTATTATCGATATGTACTCCGAGGTCAGTTTCTGAGTTGGTAGATTTGATATCAATCCTTGTTTTCTTCACTGGATCGTACATAGAATAGACAAGATGTTTATTTTTATGACCTAGGTGTAAAACTGAACATTTTTCTATATTAAATTTCATCCCCCATTTAGTTGCCCAGTCAACCAAGATATCAATATCATTTTGAAGTACGGTGTGTGAATGCAAATTAGTAATAGGGTAAAATATTTTTGTATCGTCAGCAAAAAGTGCTGCATTTGAAGTAATTATATTGGGAATATCGTTAACGTATATAATGAATAATAGAGCTGAGAGAACAGAACCTTGGGGAACTCCACTTTTTACTGATACCCAATCAGAGTAATTACCATTTATCATTACTCTTTGTCTTCGATTTGTGAGAAAGTTTCTTATCCAAGAGAGAATTGGACCATTAATCCCATAGGCTTTTAGTTTCAAAAGAAGATAGTCGTGTGGGACTTTGTCAAATGCTTTTTCAAAGTCAAGGTAAATATTATCGACGGGAAGACCTTTATCTAAATTAAGTGTCCATGTATTGATTACAGTAAGAAGATTTGTTTCACAAGAGCGCCCTGGATAAAAACCGTGTTGACTAGGAGTTAGTAGATTATTTTTTAAAAGATAAATAAAAATATGTTTTTGTATTATTTTTTCAAATATTTTGACTATAGTGCATGTTAAACTAATGGGTCTATAGTTGGTAACTAGTTTCTTGTCTCCTTTTTTGAAAATTGGAATGATATTTGCATCTTTCCAGATTTGTGGTAATGTACTAGTTTGAAGTACCTTAGTATAAATAATAGAAAGATGTTTAGAGATTTGGTGATGGGTTTCTTTTAATATTTTGGGATGTATCTCATCTGGACCCGGTGATTTAAATGACTTTATAGACAGAAGATGAGATGCAATGTTTTCAGGAGATAGATCAAGATTATTAGAGATTTGACTGGGACAAATAGAAGATAAGTTAAAACTTGGAACAATCAATGTATCATTATCAGAAAAATTACTAGCAAAGTAATTATTGAAGCATTGAGCCTTTTCAAGATCGGTGGTAGCAACTATCTTATTGTGGAATATTTCAGGAATGAGATTTTTTATAAGATTTTTTGATTTTATGTATGAAAAAAAAGCTTTAGGATTTTTGTTGATGTTTTTAGCAATTTCTTTTTCAAAATTTATTATAGCATTTCTGCAAGCTGCTTTAGTTCTGTTACGCGCTCGACAATAGTCAAAGTAAGTTTTACCATTCCGTTTATGAATGTAGTCTTGATATTTAATTTGTTTATTTCTTATTTCTTCTGCTACTTGGGCGGTTATCCATTGTGAACGCTTTTTAGGTTTTGTTGAGGATTTTGGAACATTTTTTTTAATAGTGTTTTTAAGGTTTGTGTAGAATGTATCCCAAAGTTGTTCTGAATTATAGTTTTGATTTAACACTAAGGTTGATAGATCTTTATTAATTTTATTATAGTTTCCTTTAGAGAATAATTGCTTATTAATAGTATGAGTTGGTTTATCTATTGGATCGGTTAGTACGGTAAAGTATAAAAGGTGATGATGACTTTTTCCAATTGGAGCAAGGTGGGTTATTGGTGAAATTATGTTTTCCACGGATGTTATTATAAGATCGATAGTAGTTGGTTTTTGATTTTTTCTGAAGTGGGTTGGTTTAGATATATGTTGTGTGAGGAAACAATTGCGGATTGAATTTATGAATTTTAAAGATTTTGATGAGTGAGATATCGGGTTTCCTTTTTTGTTAGACCAAGTTATATCTGGGTAGTTAAAGTCTCCAACAATAAGGATGTTTTCGTATTTTTCAGAAAGATTAGTTATGTGTTGATTTATATAGTTATCATTTTCGTCATTGCTATTTGGAGATCTGTAGAATGTTGTTATTAGTAGCTTAGAATTTTTTGTTTGAATTTCACAACTAATTGATTCTGATGCAATGGTATCAAAGGTAACCAATGACGATTTTAATGATATATGTACAAATATTGCTACACCTCTTTGACATGATTTATTATTGTGATTTGATAGTGTTATGTAGTTTTCTATAGTAATTTCTTGATCACCGCACATTGATCGGCAATTTTTAGGCAAAGTTTCAGTAAGACAAATGAGATGTGGTTTAAGTTTTTGAACAATGAAATTTAGTTCTTGGCGTTTGTTTAAAATCGAATCAATGTTGGTATAAATTAATTTTAGTGATTTGATTTGTGTGAGCTTGTTATTTTTATCAGATTTGAAGGATAACCATTTATTTATTTGTTTAATATTATTTAATGTGTTTGCTAAAGTTGAGTTTAACAATTTTGTTGCGCCTGATGCACCATCGAAAGGGCGAGTTTGGTTCATTTTCTAAAAGCTGGTGGTTTTTATTCTTTTTTTCTTTTCTTAATTCAAAATCTATTAGCCTTTCTGCTGGTGTCATATCCGGGTTTAAATAAACATTTTTATAGTTGTCGTTATTTCTTAATTCCCTAGACGCGAATAGAACTTTATTGCGTTCACAGTTTTCAGGAAGTACAGCAATAATTGGAGATGGATTTTTTGAAACTTTTTTTTTTTTAGCCTAATTAATTTAATCGGTTTTTCATTGCTTTTGCCAATGTAATCAAATATTTCATTGACCATTAATTTATCATCATTTATTGTATCTGATTCATCTGTTTTACTCGATTCGGGAATTCCAAAGATTATAATATTGTTTTCTCGCTTTTTTTTATTTTCCTGTTCTGATATTATTGAATTTGCGATGGTGTTTACAACAAGTGATTTTTCCGTGGATGTAGTTTTCGTTGAAAATTTCGACCAAAAATTAGCAGATTCGTTTACTGTTGGTTGTTTAGATTCAAGGAATTCTATTCTTTTTATTAAATTTTTTATGGTTTCTTGCTGTTCTCGTACTATATCAGATAATTCTGAACAGCTAAGTTTTCCTTGTTTCAACATATCGTTTTATACGATAAAACTTTTGTTAATGTTTTTCAAACTATTGTTTGTAATGTTAAATTATGATAGTTTTCGCAGTTTACGCAAGGACTAGAGTTCCCAGTGTTTTTTGTTGTTGTTGAAAATTTATTAATAAAATTTTTTTTTTTTATAGATTAATGTTAAATTTAAAAAAAAAATAAAAAAAAAAATATATATATAAAAAAAATAAAAATATATATATATATATATAAAAATTGCTTATGAGTTTTTAGATGAAAGAAATGTTACTTTAACTTATTTTTAAAATATTTTAAATAGGAAAAAGTAATGATTATATAGTCAATGAATATATTTAATTTAAGTCTAGCAAATAAGAAATAATTAAAAATATTTGTTTTTTTCTCACTTAAAAGTAATTTTTCCAGAAATAAAAAGCTTTTATTATTGAACTTTTGTAAAATAAAATTTTTTTAATTAAAAAAAAATTGTAAAATCATTAATTAAAAGCATTTGTGTTGCAAATTATAAATATTATAAGATTTTACTTATCTATAGTATTATTATATTATAGATAAGTGAAATTAAATAACTAATAGTTTTTTTCAATTATTATTTTTACTAATAGTTATATAACATACTTTTTCAGGTATATAAAAAAAAATAATACAAAAAAAAGCCCTTTTAATTATTTAAGTAGAAATGTTAAGGTAAAAAGTGTTACCTTTTATTTGCCTAAAACTAAATTATGGTCTCAAATTTACTCAAATAAGTTTCAACAGGGTAGGATTTAGACTAGAAAGTAAATTACAGTAGAAATAAAACCTCTTTTGTTTTTTGTTCCGGCTTTCTTAGCTATTTCAAGTTGTTCTGCTATTTTTTTTTCTAAATGCTCAGACTTTTTTGTTAAAAGTTCCTCTGCTTGTCTGAGCCTTTGAATTGCTTCTGATGCTGTTGGCTCATCTTCTTTTTTTTTTGTACTTCCAAAGATTTTTGCTAAACTCATTTGAAAATGTTTTAATATAAAAAGCTCATATTATTATTTGCAATTGTAAACACAGATACTGTTTCATTTACGCTATCCACCATTATTGTATAATAATTACGTAATGAAAATTTAGCGAAGCAAAAACTTTTATGACTGGAAATTACCGCCAAATAATTTATCTTCCCATCTTCTCCTTGAATTTTGAGTGTTCAAAAAAAATAAAAAAAACTTTTCAAGTTAAATATTTAAATTCTTTTGAAATAGCGAATATTTGTAAACAATCAAAAACAAGCACAAATAAGAGACACACAGCAAAAAAATGGTTGACAAAAAACTTATAAAAGTGTAAATTATATGCGCTAGAAAATAAAAACAGGTGAGAATTCTTGACGTTTAAGGATAAAAAAACTTGACAAAAAAACAAAAAAAAAATTTTGAGCGTGAAAAGCAGTTTTAAAGTATTATTTTTCTTACTAAAAATTCATGTAAGTTGTGCATCGGAAGATGAAATGACAGCTTACTTTAGCAGCCACCATGGCGCTGTTTGTAAAAAAGTTACGACAATATATCAAAGCCTCAAGTAACGAAAACTGCGTCATTTTTATTATTTCCCAGAGAAAAAAAAATTGAGAAGAAGCTTTGTAAATAACTAAAAATAAATAAAAATGTTGGTATTCAATTATATAGAAAAATCAAGAATATTATAATAGTTATTAGAAGTACTTTCTAACTTTATTGGATTAAAACTTGCCAGCTACTGCAAGCTCCTAACTATTATAGATTTTAGATTATATTAAAGATCTGCTTTCTAATTCATTACAGAGCCTTTCTTTAATAACAATTAAGGAGTCAAGAGGATGGCCATCTCTATCGATTGTCAGAGAGAAAGGACTCAAAATAAGATAGCAGAAAATTTTTATATAAAGAATAAGATAATAAATAGATAAAAGAATAAAATAATAAATAAATAAAAAAATAAAAACCTTGCTAATAATAGTCTAAAGATTAGTTTGGCACTTTACTGTAACCTTATATTTTAACGGTTTTTTTGTTTTTTGATTTGTATTGCATGATCGATAATTGCCATTTTGAGCGTGAAAAGCAGTTAGATTAAAAATATTATTTTTCTAATGAAAAAAATCATGTAAGTTGTGTATCGGAAAGTGAAATGACAGCTTACTTTAGCAGCCAACATGGCGTTGAAAATTCGGGTCCCACTGTCTCATGTGTGGAAGTAAAAGAAAAAATATTTGTTTTTTTATTTCAAGTTTTTTAAACTAGATCAAAATTGATCGAAAAAATTAATTTATATAAAGAAAATTTCTTATCCTTTAAAAACGGCGACCAAGTAATGTTTACAATCAACTCTATTTGGGGGGATATCAACTTTACAATGTCATAACTTTTGAACGTTTAAATATTTTCTTACTAAATAAAAATTTTAGGCATAAATTTTAATCACGCTCATAATGGCCAAGTTTTTTTAAAATATTCATTGTGCCCCCCTCTTACTACCTTTCATTCAAGTATTTTGACCTTGGGACACCAATTAAAAAATAAACATTTTTTTTTTTTGTATTTTTTTTGCTGTTTAATAATAAATAATCAAAAAAAATATATATACAAGAAAGAAAAAGATATGTCTGTAGAACAAAGAAGACAGTAAAATCTTGTCAACAAGCACCGTTTTTGTATATACAGTATAAAATAAAACACTATTCTTTTTACAATGATCTTTATAAAATAAAGAGTTAAATAGACAGGGGCTCAAAGAAGATGAAGATGATAATACGTCATCGCAATCTTTTCATAGAGCCCCTATATACACTTTCTATAGAGTGTAGGTATTAAATTAAAAACCCTAATGGGCATAAAACTGCTGCGCTGATCAGTAAATCAAATAAAGATAAAATATTAAAAAATTAAAAAATAAATAAAATTCCTTGGTGATTCCTTTAAGCACAAAAGATTCTCAAATTTTAAAAATTTCTTTTTTGAAACTTAAATGAACTTAATGACTTTGCCATACATTTAAATCCTTTTTGATAACTATTCCATATATTTGGCCGTCGATATGCAATGCTATATTTAGTATATTTATTAATGTTTTGAGGCAGCTTATATGTGTTACTTATATTTGCTCTTAGATAATAGTTTTCATTTATGTTTATTTCAAACTTGTTATTAAAGTTTGCAGCAGAGATATTACTATTGAGTTGATACATAAAAATTAAATGCTGATAGACATTTATTTCAAAAACATCCACCATTTTCATATCTTTCATTATAGGTTTAGCATGTTCACGCTTATTTTTATAGTAAATGATTCTGCACGCATGTTTTTGTAGACTATAAATTTTTTTGAGTTTTGATGGTTGCGTACTGTTTGTAAGAAATAGATTTGTATCATCAGCAAACATGACTGATTTCAGTTTTAAAGATGCATTGCAAAAATCATTTATATAAATTAAAAACAGGAGTAGACCAAGGATAGATCCTTGGGGGACTCCACATAAAACATTTAGTACTCCAGATTGTATATTACACACATATTGTTTTCTATTGGTAAGATAACTTTTAATCCAATTGTAAGTTTTATTAATTATACCATAGTTCTTTAGTTTGACTAATTGTATGGAGTGGTCAACTGTATCAAAAGCTTTTGATAAGTCTATAAAAACTCCTAAAGTAAATTTGTTTTGTTTAAAGCCATCAGTTATTTGATCAACTAATTCAATGATTGCATGCTCTGTTGAAAGGTTTTTTTGAAATCCAAACTGGTTCGGGTAAAGTAATTTGTTTTTAGTGAAGTGATTATAGATTCTATTATAAATTACACGTTCGAAGAGTTTTGAAAATACAGAAAGTATTGATATAGGTCTATAGTTGGTTATGTCCGAATGTTCATTACATTTAAATATGGGGATTACTTTTGCTAATTTAAGGATATCAGGGAAAATCCCAGATGTTATTGAGAGCTTAAGTATATGGATCAGAGGTCTGCTGAGACTAGTTTTATTAAAGATAACTAAATCACTAGTTATTTCATCAAATCCTGATGCTTTCTTTTTTTTAAAGAGGAAAAGGCTTTTTCAAATTCTTTATAGTTGAATTCCTTATCGTACATGATAGTGTTATTTGTGGGTTTTAGGTAGTTTTTAAATGAATCAGATGTTGGACTTATTTTATTAGCAAGATTTGGACCAATATTTATAAAATATTTATAAAATTCTTCGGATATTTGTTTTTTACAGAATATGTCTGTATTGTTAATATTAATTCTTTTTGGTAAAGAAGTTGAATTTATTTTTTTCCTTCCCATTATCTCATTAATGATGGACCACGTTTTCTTACTATTAGACTTGCATTTTATGATTTCATTACTGTAGTATTTATTTTTAGCTTTTTTAATAAGATTTTGGTTAAAATATTTAGAGTTTTTGTATTTTATCTCATTATCAGTGTTTTTATTATTTAGAAATTTATTTTAGAGTTTTTGCTTCTTTTTGGAGCATTTTATCAGTGTTTTATCCATCCACGGATTTTTTTTTTTAATGTTGATTTTAGACGCCCCAAAGAGTCCTTACGGTCTTATCACAGAGCACCGCAGAAGAGCATTTAATAGGAAGTTCACGCCTCCTTCCTAACCGATGTCGCAAAACTTGCGCAGAGGTGGGGTTTGAACCACGGATCTTACGTTTCTGAGGCAAGTGTGCTACCATTGCGCCACGGCTGCTTATATGAAGAAGCTATATGCAACATTTATAACTGCATATAAATCATTTGATTTAAGCAATAAAAATTTTCCTAATGGTATTTCTACTAAATGCAGAAAAGATTTAGAAAGACTGCAAAAACATTATTCTGAGTGAACCGTATTACTTCTCAAAAGTCAAAGTTAGCATACTCAATAGAAACCAATCGTTTTGTGTTTGTGATATCTGTGAAATTGCTCGAACTACAATCAATCCAGGATGAACATCTGATAACAGAGGAAAAATCAAGCTGGGCAGAGTAAATATATCATCACCTGGACCAATAAAATATGCAAAAGAAGCAAGGCTGTTATTGGACCAGGATTATCCCACCCTTGCACTCTCACAAAGAGAAAAGAAAATTTAACAGAGGAACTAAACAAAGATAAGGTTAACTTTATACTGTTGATATAATATTTCTCAACTCAAAAATTAGAACTTTACATAAATAATCTGAAATATAAAAACTGAAAACCTTGATTTTTTTATTTAGATTTAAAAAAATAGACACTATTTTCTTCAAAACCCCTCCTTCCATCCTTCGTTCTATTCAAATATTTGGACTATGGGGCCTTTATTTGAAGATTAATAATAGTATGCTAATTAATAATACATTTAAAAATAATAGTTAATAACAGTAAAAACGTTTAAATTACTCTTTTTTTAATACCAACTATCATTCTTATGCTTATTGTATACCGCAAGAAAACATGGTTTTATCTACTGTTAATTTTAATAATTTAAACAATTAATTTTAATAATTTAAACAAGTTAGTATTGCTCAAATCAAAAATACCAAACAATAAAAAATCTTACTAACATAATAGAACCTTAGTCTGCTTAGTTTGTTTTTAAAAAGGATCAGGAATGATAGAAGTTAAAGGAGAAACTGTGACGTTGAATAGAATATTTAAGTACTTTTTAAGTCATTTGATTTAAGCAATGAACATTTACCTAATAGTATTTGTACTAAATTTAGAAAAACATAAGAAAAAGGAGAAAGCATTAGAAAAAGGAGATAAAAGCATAATTCTGAATGAACTGTATGACTTCTCAAAGGTCAGAGTTAGCGTACTCACTAAAAACCAATCGTTCTGTGTTTGTGACATCTGTGAAATTGCTCGAACTACAATTAATCCAGCATCAACATCTAATAACAGAGGAAGAATCAAGCTGGATAAAGTAAATATATTATCACCTGGACCATTAAAAATATGCAAAAGGTGAAAGGCTGTTATTGGACCAGGATTATCCCACCCATACACTCTCACAAAGAGAAGAGAAAATTTAACAGAGGAACTGAAGAAAGGTAGAGTTAACTTTATACTGTTGATATAATATTTCAAAATCAAAGTTTAGAACTTTACGTAAATAATCTGACATATAAAAACTGAAAATGTTGATTTTTTTTATTTTAAGATACACGAAGTGAAGAACTTTAATGCTCAAAAATACTGAAAAAAAAATTTTCGGAGGAGGGAACTAAAATCAAGGTTGCAGCCAAAGGTAAAGCACTTGCCGTTGAACAATCAAAATTATCGAAGGATTACATTTTAAAGGTTGGAATTGATGTTGGAGACGGATTTATAAAACTTTGTTTAAATATTACTGAAAAAGAAGCAGAAAGTAAAATAAAAAGAAAAAAGTTTAGCTATGAAGAAGGAATAGGCAATCAAAAATACAAAGACAGAGGCGTAAATAAATTGTTTATTGTTGGCTTAGTAAAAAAATATCCCATTCGAATCATGAAAAAAATTCTCAATATTTTGAAGCTAAATGAGTTACATTACTTTTGCACATTTGATATAAAAATGGCTAATATATTTTTTGAATTAAAAGTGCAACATCAACACATCCTTGTCCTAGGTGTAATTGAAAAAATCTTTTGAAAAATATTATAGGTTGTAAATGTAAATATATATATATATATATATATATATATATATATATATATATATATATATATATATATATATATATATATATATATATATATATATATATATATATATATATATATATATATATATATATATATATATATATATATATATATATATATATATATATATATATTATTTTTAATATATTTATAAGTAACGCATTAATATTTTCGTTTTAATTGGGGTCCCAAGGTCAAAATACTTGAATTTCAAAAACTTAAAAAGGGAGTCACAATGAATATTTTAACAAACTCGGCCATTATGAGCGTGATTAAAATTTATGTCGACAATTTTTATATAGTAAGAAAATATTTAAACGTTGAAAAGTAATGACCTTGTAAAGTTGATATCCCCCCAAATAGAGTTGATTGTAAGCTTTACTTGGTCGCCACTTTTAAACGACAAGAAATTTTCTTTATATAAATTAATTTTTTTTGATAAATTTTGATCTAGTTTAAAAAACCTGAAAAAAAAAAAAAAAACAAATTTTGTTCTTTTCCTTCGACATATGAGACAGTGGGGCCGGAATTTTCTAATCTTAATTTTTTTTATTAAACATTCTTTTGACACCAGTATTATTATTTCAAAACTTAAAGTTTGTAGCATTTCTGGAAGTTACCTATCTTGAACATGAAAAGTTCATGACTTGTCCGTTTAACCTTCTTTTTTTAAAAAGAAGTCGACAGAATATTTTTAATTTTAAATTATTATAGTAGGATGTTTCGTGGTTTTGAAAATGCAAATCATTTCTGGGGTCAATGTTATAAAACTTTTTATCGGCGTAAAATGCTACCGGCTGTAAATTTTATCGTCGTAAATGATTTGTTTCAATGTTATAAAAGTTTTTTCAAAATTGCCGTCGATAAATTTCTACAGCCGAAACGTTTACAGTCGATAAATGTTCCGGAGGAGCAATCTACGGAAATTTTTGTTGAAGATCCAGAGAGATGAATATTTTTTTGTAGAAACCTATGGTTTAGAACTTTTCAAAGTACTTACCTTGAGTTGAAAATTTAATACAAATTCTTTCATTTTAATTAAGTGCACATTTCTTAGTAAATTTTAATTTCGAGCGATTTTTTTGTTAAAATTTTAATCGCAGTGGATAGCCTACCGAAAGTCGGTAGCGGAAATATAAAAATTATCCTACCGAAAGTTTTTTTTTAATTAGTTAAGAAATATCACGTGTCACAATAGAATTGCTATATAAATATATTTTTAAATACTTAGATGATAATGTTTAGTAGCGTATCGGATATAATCTTGTCTCTATACGCAGGCGTTCCGAGTTTGAATCCTTACTAAGGAATATATTTTACATTACGATTGTTTTTTCCATGTTTTTTAGGTTTTATTACGCTTATTAATTGAATAAATTATTTAGGGATATACGCTGGGAATAGCACAATGCATTAATAGACGCAATGGAGTGTTTATACACTGACTGATTTAGGGATAGGCATCGAGGAATGTACATGCATTTACTAATTTAGGGATAGGCGCAGTGAAGTGCACATACGTTTACTAATATAGGGATAGGCGCTGTGTAGTGTACATGCATTGACTGAGGGTTTTGGTATAGGGTGGAAGTCATTTCTATTTATTTAATGGAAAATCCTATTTAATTTTTTTACATTTTTTACGTTTTTGTTTTTTAAAAACAATATCTTTAATTTTCTTCATTTTACGGTATAAAAAATATTGTTTATTTTGACATGTGATATTCTCAAAACTTTCGGTAGGATAATTTTTATTTTTCCGCTACCGACTTTCGGTAGGCTATCCACGGCGAATTTTAATACTGAATTTGTCATGTAAGAAATGTAAGTCATTTTTAAAATTTATAACTGCTCTCATTAACTACTTTTAGAAAAACATTGCTTATAAATTTCATACTTTCATTTAACTTATTATTTATAAACCTAATTCTGAGCTTCTATTTATCTAATTTTTTTCTTTTCTGTTGTGATTTAATGTTTTTTGCTAAACTTATTAAATTTAACAGAAAAAAAAATTAAAACACAACACTGTTGTGTTTTAATATTTTTATATATAATTTAAAAGCAATATTTTTCTAAAAAATAGTGAATGTTGTAAAGTATATATAACCAGTTATTTATTATTTAAATCTTTCTTAAACTAAAGTATTTTCTCTCCATCACTATAATTGTTAATATTATTATTACTATATTTTTATCATTATAAATATTATGATTCTTACTGCTATTAATATTGTCATAATTTTTTTTTATATTACTGTTTTTGTTATATTACTGTTGTTGTTATTATTATTGTTGTTGTTATTTTTACTGTTATTTTTGTTTATATAATTATTAAAATAGTATAGTGTATACTTTTTATAATCTTTACTATTACTTTTAATCGCTGTTATTATAACTATTATTTTTATTTACTCCTAAATGCGTTATAATTATTATTAATATTACTTTAATAATAATACAATAATGCAAATAATATTAGCATCATTTTATTAGTATTAAATTTTACAGGTCTTTATTTCATATTACTACTTATTATAGGTACGCGCACTGAAATTTTTAAATTAATCATATAGTAGAATGTTATATATCATTAGAAAGGCCTTTAATACAGTATTTTAAAGGTGAAAAAATTATTAAAAACGAACAATTCTAAAAAAAGTTATAACGTTTTTAGTACCAAATTTAAGATATATGGAATTGTTGAAGAAACTGTGGTCAAAATAATTATTTTTTTCACTTAAATTGTTATAACTTTGTCAATTTTTATCCAAATACCTATATCTTGGTATCAAAAGATAGGTACACTAATGGGCTACAAGTTCATATAGGTGCTGGACGTAGGGTGTATCTTGGGAGCCAGAGGGGGTAATGAAACACCATCTAACCCTTAAGAAAATACAAGTTTTTGTCAAAAATAAGCACTTTTTTAATGTAATTGTTAGATTTTATACATAAAATATTGCCATAACTTGATTCCAGAACACTGCCAAACAAAATAAGGTGATCTTAGAGTTGGACATAGATGTGGTTATGATGTTATAACACCCTAATACAATAATCATACATTCTAATAAATAATTTATTCTTTACTACAGTAATTAAATATTTTGTTAAAAAGTAAAAATATATTTTTTTACTATACAACATACATTAGTGATGTACACACTAACTTTAGGGAAGGGCGTATGTCGCACCGCCCCCCCCCGCCCCTGCCCCAACGCATAACAAAAAATAAAAATAATTAAATCTTTATTACAATAACTAAATGTTAAAAAGTAAAAATAATATTTTATTACTATTCAACATATATTATTGATGTACACATTGACTTTAAATAAAGGAAGTCTAATGCACCATCTCTCCCCCCCCCCCACCTGACAAAAAATAACGTCATCTTTATTTCAATAATCAAATGTATTTAGTTAAAAAGAAAAAATAATCTTTTATAACTATACAACATACATTAGTATTGAAAATATTGTTGTATTACATGAAGCAATATTTTTTTTCCAATAGAACATACATTAGTGATGTACAATTTGAGGAGAGGGATGGTTTTCCCCCTTCCCCTCAACCAACGTAAAAAAGAAAACACATAGAAATGATATTTTCAACATTTTCACATGCAATTATTAAAAGAAAAAAGCACAATACAGAATTGTTTTACAAGATTGCACGAGTATACATTTGCACGATTATTCATTTTCTCTAGTTTACATGTATTCAGTAGCACGAGTATACATTTTCTCATTTAAATGATCATATTTAACCGACCAACCTTATAAAAAACAAACAAAAAAAAAAAACAAATGTTTCGAAACATAGTAATTAATTTATGTCTTGGCTTTTAGTAAATGATTTAAATTAAGTTCCAATGCAACTAAATAAATCATTTTTAACAATAGACACCACGTGAAGGTAAGCCAGACCCGTCTATCTTTTTTTTTTGCAAGCCACAAAACTTGCTATACCTATTTGCAAGCCACAAAACTTGCGGTACTTATTTGCAAGCCACAAAACTTGCGGTACACATTTGCAAGCCACAAAACTTGCTGTATCTATTTGCAAGCCACAAAACTTGCGGTACTTATTTGCAAGCTATAAAACTTGCGGTACTTATTTGCAAGCCACAAAACTTGCTGTACCTATTTGCAAGCCACAAAACTTGCTGTATCTATTTGCAAGCCACAAAACTTGCGGTACTTATTTGCAAGCCATAAAACTTGCGGTACTTATTTGCAAGCCACAAAACTTGCTGTACCTATTTGCAAGCCACAAAACTTGCAGTACCTATTTGCAAGCCACAAAACTTGACTTAATTATTATACTATTTTAAAATAAAATTACAAAGTTGTAAAAAAAATCAATATTGCAAATAACAAGAAATGTATATACATATTAAATGTAATAGTTTATTAAATTACTAGTTGCAAAAGATGACTAAGGAACTAAAGTTAAACATATTATAAAGTTTGTACCTTAAAAACTAATAGTTGTTTAACTTTCCAGGTGTAGCACAAGAGGTAGATACTAAAATTAAAAAATTAATATTGCAGTAAATGGGAAATCCATACACGACAAGTAATAAATAAATAAGTAAGAAATGCATATTTATTTATATTTCTTTAATGGTTAATTAAAGTTATGCTATAATAACTTACCAGCTGTAGTCTGTGCAAATTGGCCTAAAGATAACAAAAAAGTTATATAATCAAAAAAAAAAAACATCTTGAAATTGTCAACAGTCAATAAAAATAACAGTTATCAAATCAGTTCTGCTTTACGTACAACAACCTATGTAACTAAAAGAAAAGCAATAAAAAAAATAATAAAAAACATAAATTATATTACTGTATTTTAAAATTATATTACTGTATATTAGAAAAACACTAAGAAGATACTTTTATAAGAATAAACATATTGTAAAAGTATCTTTATAATTTTACAAAAATAAGCTTATTAATAATAAGCTTATTCATATAAAAATGTCAATAATAATAATATTTTAAAATATCAATAATAATATTATTCTTAAAATATCAATAAAATCATAATATTATTCTAAAAAAATAATAATGTTATTCTAAAATTATCATTAATAATATTAGTCTAAAAATATTTTGTCAAAAACTGTATTGGCTTAAGCCAATAAAGTTTTACTTTAAAGTATAATAATGTCATTTGTATATTTTTATATATATGGTGTATTAACAACATTGGCATCTGATACTATTAGTTAATAAAATATTCCAAAGTAACGGTTTAATCTTAAATCCTAATCTTTTTTAATATATACTATCATTGGTATAACTTATACCAAAGATTAAGGTTTTTAAACTTATACTATAAGTTTAAAAACCTTAATCTTTGTTTACATATCATGATGATATGTAAACAAAGATTAAGGTTTTAAAACTTATAACTTTTTTAAAAAACAAAACAATAATGATAAGTTTAAAAACCTTAATCTTTGTTTACATCATGATGATGTAAACAAACTTTGTTATTATCATGAAAAACAAATTAACTTACTTTTTGAAGTCTTCTTTGTTATGACTTTTACCATTTTTTATTTATTAAAATAATCTAATATTAAAAATTAAATAATACAATGTAGTAAGAATTTTTTTGTTTACTATTTCCCACCCCCCTTTCCTCCCCGTATTTCTCTTACCGATAAAACAAAAACAAAAACAAAAAAAACCGAATTTAGGTACCAAAAGTCCTACACTTCTCATACTATCTGCTCCCTAATATTTTTGGCTGAAATTTGGCATGTACAAAGAAAATGCATGCAAAAAAGTTCCTGAATAACAAAAAAAGCGGAAACTTCATTCCATCGATAAGAACTTAATGTGAGAACATCAACGAAATTTTCATGAAAGTTTTTAGCAAAACTAACCATAAAAAAGTTTAGTGGTTATAAATAAAAGTACTATAAAAATCAAGCCTAACCTTTCTTCTTTCCAAATATACTTTTTGTTTATATATGTTTCTAAAAAAAAACACCACTAAAAACGTTTGTCTAACCCTACTTCAAAAAAGCAGTATATTTAAAAAAGCACCTCGTTACATATCTGCTCCCTAATATTTTTCGTTGAAATTTGGCACATAAATAGAAAATACATGTATTAAGGTGGATGAACAATCAAAAAAGCGGAAACTTCATGCCTTCGACTACAAATTTATGTGAAAACATCAACCAAATATTCAGGAGCAAAATAATCCGTTAAAAAGTTTAGTAACCATACATAAAAGTTTAAAAAAAATAAAGATCAGCTTCTCTTCTTTCCAAAAAGTATCTATGTGTATATATGTTTCTAAAAAGAAACTCCACAAAACTACGTCTACCCCACACTGCCTAAAAAAAAGTGAAAAAAACGAGTCACAAGATTTTATCACAAAAATCGGTTCCGTAAATGACGTAAATGCGCGTACCTATATATATATATATATATATATATATATATATATATATATATATATATATATATATATATATTTATATATATATATATATATATATATATATATATATATATATATATATATGTACCGTAACTTTGGATAACTTTGCACAACTGTGGGTAACATTGCCTAACTCAAATCAAATATTTATGAATTACAACTTCATAACACTTTTGAAGTCAGTTTTATATTCTAGTTTTAATTCGAAAATAGTGTAAAATAGTAATTTTAATGAAATTTCTTTCTGCACAATTAACTTTACTTAAACATAGAAAAAAGCCACGCAAATAATTTCTTGCAACTTTTATCTGTTAAGCACATCATTACTAAACTCCAAGGTGAGTAAATGGCATAAAATGCTCATCATAATATTAGTTTGAATTATTCTATGTTTTAATGCGATTATCAGTATAGATGAATAAAAAAATATTGTTTTTGTAAATAAATTACTATTTTGGATTAAATAGGGACAACTTTTCACAATAACCACAACTGTCTTTAATCATCTAAAAACAATACTTTTTAAAAATTGAGGCATATTGTATATATAAGCATAGTTACTACATAAATTTTTTATTGTTTTTATTAATTTTAATTGCTAATTAGTAATAGCATTCATGTTTTTTTCAGATGTCAAGTTGTTACAAAGCTAGAAAATATAAAGACTATACAAGTAATGACTTATCCAAATGTCTTAAAGAGGTTAAATGTAAAAAGCTGACACAAAAGCAAGCTGCTGCTAAATATGGCATCAGTCGAAGAACGATTTGTTACAAATTAAAAGGAAAACACAACTTAAAACCTGGTAAACCATACTTCTTTTCCAAATTTGAGGAAGCTGCTTTTGTGAAGTGTACCATTCAATTAAGTGATTTTGGATTTCCAATCGGTAAAGAAGATTTACGTCATTTTATGAATAATTATCTAATTAGTTCAGGAAAAAAAGTAAAAGAGTCTAAAATCTTTCCTGGGCCTGATTTAGTTAATTCATTTTTACAAAGACATCCACAGCTTACATGTAAATTTGTGTCAAACTTAAAAAAATCTCGAGCAATAGTTAATGAAGAAATTTTAAAGGATTATATTCAGCAATTATCAATAACTGTACAAAATGTACCTCCAAGCAACATATATAAAAACGATGAAACAAATTTGACTGATGATCCAGGGTCAAAAAAATGCTTGGTAAAAAGAGGTAATAAATATCCAGCATATATAAGCAACACTTCAAAAACAAGTATTTCTATTATGATATCAGGTAATGCTGCAGGTGAAGTTCTACCACCTTTTTTAGTTTATAAAGATGTAAATCTGTGGTCGACTTGGTGTGTAGGAGGTCCTAAAGGAGTCAGATATTTCAACACTAAAAGTGGTTGGTTTGACGGAGCAGCTTTTGAAGAGTGTTTTTTTTTTATAGTTTTACCTTCTTTTAAAAAAAATCAGGAATTAAAGTTTTGTTAGACGATAACTTATCCTCTTATATCTCTCCAAAAGTAATTAATGCTTATGAAATAAATGAAATTCTGTTTGTTTGCCTGCCACCTAATAGCACGCATATAACTCAACCTCTAGATGTGGCTTTCTTTAAACCTTTAAAAACAGCTTGGCATAAAATTATTACAGAGTATAAAGATTCTCTTGCTGGCTGCACAAAAACATCTCTTGAAAAACAACGTTTTCCAGAACTTTCGAACAAGTTAATGATTGCTATAGAACCAAATCAGGCTAACAACTTAAAATCAGGTTTTAGAAAGTGTGGTATTAGTCCAGTAAATGTCAATCAACTTCTCGCACAATTTAGAGAGAAAGAATCGTACGATAAAGAATTTTTAGAAGACAGCTTTAAGATTTTTTTACAAGAAAAATATAAATCCATACAGTCTCTAGAAACTAAAAAACGAAAAAAAAAGCTTTCTGTTCCTGCAGGGAAAAGTGTTGGCACAGAAAATTTAGAAAAATTTGAATTTTGAACCATTATCAAAACAGTTTTGATAATGGCTCAAAGCTTGCAAAGAAAAAAATATATATATATATATATATATATATACATATATATGTATAAATACATATATATGTATATATATATATATATTTATATACATATATATATATATATATATATATATATATATATATATATATATATATATATATATATATATATATATGTATCATTACATATATATGTATATAAGCTTTCATAAATGAAAGTTAATAAACAAATTAAACTTTTTAGATTAACTTTACAAATTTTCTTTTAGACATTGGAACCTGAAAAAAAACCATCAGGAATTTAAAGTGTTTGAAAAGGAATTTAAAGTGTTTCCAAAGTTTGCTATTGAGCTAATTAGAAAAAGGCACTTATGCTAGATTTATTAGGACTATTTATTGATCCAAAAATCAGATCAATTTTACTAATAGACATACTCAAAATGGACAGGCAAAAGAAATTTCTCTATTTAAAATTTATGCCGAGATTATTTGAAATTCGAAATAGTAAAATAAGTGGTCAAACTATAAACAGAATTATTAAAGTTCTAAAAATTACCTTTGATGCTTGAATAACTCATGAAAATGTATACTTGATATTTAAAAATTAATTGAACCACCTCGATGTTGGCTCAAATATTTTTGATAAAGTCAGATAACAAAATACATCAAAAATTTTTCTTCTTATTCAGGATGTGTTTAGACATTATGTACAACTTGTTTCCAGAGTTTCTCATATTGTCTATAGTATGGAAGCACGTCAAAACTTATTGTGGATAAAATTCTAATCAGAAAGCATCAAAAGAGTTTTATGTTTAAATGTTTATTTGTGTCTAAATAAATTTTTGTTACAAGAATATTAATTATTTAATATTTAAAGTCATTTTTTGTTAAAGTTTATTTATGCAATTTTTCACATTTTTTCTGCGTGTTTAGATTTTCTATGTGTATAGATTGTATAATATGTGTTTCTTTGTGTATAGATTGTATAATATAAAATGTGTGTAGATTTTCTATATTTATATCAACACAATTTTACAAAATAAAGAATGATTATTTACCTAATTAATTACGTAAAAAAAAGAATAAAAACTTTTAATTTTTTAATTTTATGTATTTAATTATAAAGACCAGAACAATCAAGGTCAAGGCCAAAAACTTTAAGGCCGAGGCCAAAAGTTTCAAGGCCAAGGCCTTGGTTTTTGGTCTTAAGGCAAGGTCAAGGCCAAGAACTAATAACTCTGGTCTAAAGAAACCTCTATATAGAAAATAGTATAAATTATTTTTATAAAAAAGCTATACAAATTTTGTTATAGGGTAGGGTGAAAAATTAATGACAATTCCATTTTAATACTTTTAAATTGTATTCTTAACAGTTTAAATACTGTTTGAACAGTTTTACTTCTCGTGGTTGTCTCTGATTTGCCAAATATTTTAAAGCAACAAAATATTCTTCATCAGAATCAGAACAGTTTAAGTCCGAATCCATAAGAAACTGTTAATTTTTTTTATTATGAACCACCCATGATAATATTTAAGCGCAAAAAAAAGAAAATATTACTCACAGATAATGTTCCAATTGGAACTATTCAAGGATGCTCAGAAATTGGCTGGGTTAATACTGATTTATTTCTTGAATATATACAACATTTTGTTATTCATGTACGATGCACCTTGATCAACAAAATTTTACTTATATTTGACGGTCATTATTTTGGCTCATACCAAAAGCTTAAAACTTATAGACTATACTTGTGACAATGGATTGTTTTTGCTACCATCACGCACAACCTTTTTTTTTTTGCTACCACCACACAACTCATAAACTTCGACCATTGGACAGTGGATTTTTTAAGCCTTTGAAAACCTTTTTAAACAAGTTTTTCAATCAACTTTGCATATGGATTTTTTTTGTTGATATTATTTTTTTAATTTCTATTATGTTTTTCAATTTAAAAGGAAAAATTACATTATAAAATGATACCTTTTTGTTTTATTGGCGTTCTTATACATAATCAGGTCGAATTTATCAAAAGTCTGCTTTAATTTTATTGAAAATTATATTTTTAACTTAGTTTTTTCTTATAATGAAATATGTCTCATTTTGCCACAGGTTTTGGAAGAGTGAGACAGAATAGTTGCTGCCATTTTGAATTTAATTATGTACCAATGCAACAATCTGTCACCCCAAATAGTTTAATGCATCGTAGTTGAAGCGCTTTATTGTTATTTGATTGGATTTTTGATTTTTCTTCTTAATATACGTTTCGTTGTTTATGCAGCTATAAAAAAATAAATACAAAGAAAAGTTTTTAAATATAAAGAAAGTAAAAAGTAGATCAAATGTGCGGCCTAATGTTTTTCTGCTTGTGTAAAGGTAAGTGTTAAAAAATGTTGCGTATTTCAAGGTTTTTTTTTTATTGAAAAACATTTTGAAAAAAAGCAAGCATGAAAAAATAAATTTCATATTTCTTCTCCTTATTTCAATATATGATTGACATCATATATTGAAATAAGGAGAAGAAATATGAAAAAGATTATGTCAAGATTACATTTACATAAAGAAATTACTCCGATGTAAAAGTTTGTTTTGAAGAGTTTCGTTCACCATTGACCCACTGTGCAATGGCGCGAAATATACCCAGAGTTCGCTTTAAACCCGGGATCTCTTGCTACTAAAGCAAATGCTCTAACCACTGCGCCACGGCCGCTTTACTTTTTGATAATGGCTCTCGCTGTAAGCTGAAATATCACGTAAAAAAGAAATAAATAGTATAATACCGTATATGATGTTTTAATGCTTATTTTTGTATATATGTTTTTTTTTAATTTGTTATTTTAGGTGCTCTAAGAAGGCCTTACGGTCTTATCACAGAGCACCGCGGAAGTGCATTTACCCAATGTAATATTTTAATGACATCTTAATAATATGATGAGGTTTATATATGAAATTTAAAAAAAACATCATTTACGGCGACTTACTATTTATTTAACTTATTAAAATTTATTAACTTTAAGTGTGGCATATTTTAGCTCATATAGTTGAAGCCATTTTCAAACGGAAATACGTTACAAAAAATTGTTATTTACAATAATAATGTCATTGCAGCGTAATATTATAAATGTTTTTATACTTAACAAAAAAATATTTCCGATAGTGAGTCATCACTAGGTTGCCATTATCCCGGTTTAGTATTTTTTCTGGATAGCTACATAGCAGTCAGTCTATTTGATTAGCATCCCGGATTTTTGTATATAACTATTTGGGATGACTAAAAGTTTTGCATTGTAGAATTAATCCAATTAATTGTACCTTTGCAACTTTGTGCATGTTGTTCTTGTCTTATTTAACAAACATTAAGTAAATTGAAAAAAGAAAAAAAATAGACATAAAAACATGCAACAGTATTTTTCTGATGCTATACCATCTCGATTATACGGCTGCATTAAATCGCATAAAAGTAGTTACCCAAATAAAAGAGATAAGAAATCTAAAAACGAATTATAGTCTTAACTGTTGTATGTTGAGGGTTTTGGGATCATAGGGGCTTTCCATTAATTATGGCAACAAATTTTCAACCATTTTTACCTCACCCTCCTTTGTGATTACGTGCAGGTCTTATAGCTAAAGGATTCAAAAGATAACTTACAACAGTCAATATTTTGCCAACCAAAATGGTTGTAGATTACAGCATAAAAATAAAAAAAAATTTAATTACTAAAATAGCCGGAAAAAACCCCTAGATTTGTTGTAGAAGGATTTTCTTTATCTTTGAAGAATTGACATCACTGCGTTCCCGTAGCTACATGAATATTTACTTGCACGAAGATGACAGTTCTGAAGCTTAAGTATAGTTCAATTAACAGGATTAATGTCTGCAAATAAATGTATTTAGCTAATAGAACAAAAGCTTGCACAACATGGACTTGATTTGCGAAAAAATATTAATGGTATTATAAATGATAGAAGATTGAAGAATTTTACCTGTAAATCGAGTTAGAATTAAAGATGACAGGCGTGTTTTTATAATAACAATAGAAGAAAAAACATTTTAAACTTAATATACTGATATTTACTTTATAAACTTAATATATTGATATGGTACCAAAAGTTGATTATGTTTCTAGAAAACATCTTGAAGACTAAATTACCCGAGTGTCAGAATTAGAGCGTAAAGATATTGAAAACTTGTCAAAAATTGATAAACTGATGAGTGAAAATGTTTTATTAACAGCACGAGTTAAAATATTAGAAGAAAAACAAACAAATAGCATTTTAGATTGGAGTAAATTATTTAATAGTAAGAAGTGCGATAAATCTACAGAAAGAATTAAAAGTAACACAAGGTATTATAGATTTAAGTAAAGACGTAAGTAATAGAGATAAAAATATCATTGTTTTTGGAATACCAAATTCAACTGATTCGGATGAATAGGAATGAAATACTCTTAAAAATATTTTTTCTGAAATAAAAATCAACCCTGACAAAATAACACAAATGAAAATAACACAAAAATGGAAACAAGTACACCTTTGTTGGTCAAATTACCTGATAGTTCAGATAAATTTGCAATATTAAAAGCTGCCAAGCAACTAAAAGATTCTGAAAGTTTAAAAAAAGTATCTATTCAGCCAGATCAGTATGAATTAGAAAGAAAATTTACAAAGAGCTTAAATTTAAAAAGAAATAAACTAAATGAAGAGCTAAATTTGAAAGGCCAGTTAAATAATCTCTTTCGATTCGGAATCAGGAATAATGAAGTCAAAAAAATCAGAACAAATTAGCCAAAAAATAAACCAAAAGGATAAGAATAATTTAAATCAACATATGAACTCCAATGATAATATTTCTGTTTGCCAACAATATGATTCTTTGAACACTAAAACAATGCTTGCTGATTTAAATATTAATAGTAAAGAAGTTCATCTGTGTAGAAATTTTTTACCAAACAATGATTTAACTCAAGTAAATTCAGTTTTTAATATAAACAGTAAAAAAAATGCTAAATATCAACCCAAAAAAACCAAGAAATAGTATAAAATGTTGGTACACAAATGCAACTTCTTTAAACAATAAATACAACGAACTAATAGCCGAAGTAGAAATAAATAACCCAGATGTTATGTTTATTTGTGAAACATGGTGGAATGATTGTTCTCCCAAGAGTATTCAAGGACATTCACTGTGAAACGAGAAAGAACTTATGGCAAAGGTGGTGGTGTTTGCATATATGTCAAAGACTCAATAAAATCTTTTGAAGTTTCAAATAGTGTGCTGCAAAGCCAACAAATAGAACAAATATGGTGTAACATAGAATTTGGAAATGAATCAATACTATGTGGCTGCATTTATCGTCCCGAAATAAGTGACATTCAAAATTGTATAAAAATTACAGCATCAATCAAAGAAGCATATGAAATAATATTCAATAAAACATATAGTGGCATTCTTTTAAATAGGGATTTTAACTTAGCAAAAATAGATTAGAGTGAGGAATTTTTTGCCCATCTGCAAGAACCAAATGAAATTGCTAGTATGTTTATAGACTGCTTAGACAATTGTTATTTATTTCAAAATATAAACAAGCCAACGTTTCAAGTGGATGATATAACTGAAACTAATGTCTTAGATTTAGTAATAACCAAAAATAATTTGCGAATATATAAGCTAGAACATCATCCACCGTTAGGATCGATTAAACAGGGTCATCACGTATTAACATATAATCACAACTACAGTTCATCTGAAGAAATATTAGCAGAGTTTAACAAAAAAAAAATACATCTATAATAAAGGAAACTATGATGAAAATAATAAATACTTTGATAGTACTGACTGGTCAAGAATATTCGAAAATTTGAACGCTAATCAGTGTTACGAAAAATGGTTAGAACATTATAAAATCATTTGTAATGTAAATAAACTGTTAACTAAATCAAATAAAAAAAAAAAGAGCACCTTGGTTTAATAAAAGTCTATCGGAAATGATTAAGGCAAAAAAAGTTTTATGGATAAAATGTAGAAATGAAAAATTTAGAGATGAAGAACTTGAGGCAAAATATAAAAGTATAGAAAACACAACGAAAAAAGGCTATTAAAAATGAAATTGTTATATATGAGCACACAATAGCGAAAAATACTAAGAAGAATCCCAAAATAGTTTACCAATATATAAATAATAAAACTCAAACTAAAGATTATATTCGAGCTATTGAGAATAACAATGTAGTAGTTACGACCAGCCTTTCTGAGATTGCTAATGAACTAAACAATTTTTTCAGCTCAGTTTTTACTATTGAAGATAAAAACCTCTAAGAGTTTCCAAAATAGTGCGATGTTTTATGCCCAAATCCTACATTCGATAATGAAACAGTTAGTAAGAAGCTTGCAACTCTGAATGTTTATAAATTAACTGGAGTAGACACAATACACCCTAGAGTTTTAAAAGAATGTTGCAAAAGTATTTCAAAACCACAATCAATTATTTTTGATCGTTCATTTTTGAGTGGCATTGCTCCATGTTTATGGTTATGTGCAAATATTACCCCTCTGTTTAAAAAAGGAGATAAATTAAAAGTAAAAAATTATAGGCCGATATCACTCACATCAATAGTGTGCAAAGTGATGAAAAAAATAGTAAGAGACACACTAATGAATCATCTGACTAAAAATAGTATACTCTCTGACTCTCAACATGGTTTTGTATCATCCAAAAGTTGTTGCACAAATTTACTTGAAACATTGGACATAATAACTCAGGCACTTGAGGAAAATTTAACAGTAGATTTAGCTTTTTTAGACTTTGCTAAAGCCTTTGACTCAGTTGCACATAAGAGACTATTATTAAAACTACAATCCTATGGGATGCAAGAACAACTATTATGTTGGTTTAAAAGTTTTCTAAGCAGACGAACACAAAAAGTGGTTTTCGGTGAGATAACCTCTGAGTGGAAAAAAGTAATAAGTGGAGTACCACAAGGATCAGTTATTGGACCCCTTTTATTTGTCATATATATATAAATGATTTAACAAGTAAAAATGTTAAATTATGCATATCGGCAAAAGAAATTTAAAATATAATTACTTAATGTGTAGCACATTCGATATAATTCAGCAAAATGCTTTAGTTATAGAAGAAACCACGATAGCGATAATGGTGTAATAATATCAAACGACGTCAAATGGGAAAAGCATATTAACACAATTGCGGCAAGGGCTAATAGAAAGCTCGGTCAGATAAAGAAATCTTTTTGTCGATTAGATGAAATTTCAATGAAACATTTATACACATCATTGGTTCGTCCACACCTAGAGTTTGCGGTGCCGGTATGAAACCATTACTACCAAAAGGATATTGATAAAATTGAAAAAATACAACGTAGGGCTACACGAATAAATAGTTTAAGAAGCTTTTGCTATGAAGATAGACTGAAAAAATTTAACTTGACTACTTTAAAAACAAGAAGAGAAAGAGGCGATTAAATTCAATTTTATAAAATAAGTAAAAATATGGATAAAGTTAAATGGAATCATCCTCCTAAAATAATTAAATATGCAATAACAAGAGGTCATACTCAGAAAATACAAAAACAATTCACAGATTCTACCACAAGATTTAACTTCCTTATAAACAAAATAGTTAACAATTGGAATAATTTAACAGAGGAGATAATTAATTTTAAAAATGTGAACATCTTCAAAAACAAGTTTGAAGGTTTCGAAAAAAACAAAATAAAAATATAAAAAAAATAAAACAAACAAAAAAAAAGTATATAACATTTCAAAAGGGGAAAAAAAAAAAACTTTTGCAACGACTGTCAAAGTTTTAACATCTACAGATGTTAGACTCACACATTGTATGTGTACAGCAAAAATGTATTATTTATATATTACTATTATAAATCAACAGTTATGTTTTGCATTGATATGTTTTTGAGGTAAGTTGTGGTCCAGTGATCAAAAAGTTACGAAAATTAATAGTAATGTTTAGACATTCACCAAAAAAAAACAAAACAAAACAAAAAAAGATACCTCGCATAAGTATGTTGTAGCTGTATTTTGGAAGCAAATAACTCTAAAAAAAGACCGCAAGACTAGAAGGAACTTTTGTCAATGCTTTATCGCGTCTATTTACTAAAAAATTGTGTACAAAAGACATTAACAGACATAACTCTATCGGAAGGTGAACCTTTAAGTTTTATTATTAATAATATCATGGGGCCTATTTGAAAATATTTGGGCGCTTTGGCAACAAAATGTTTTTTTCATTTTTTTATTTTTAGTAATACCTAATAAAAAATTTTTTTCCTAATAAAAAAATTATGTGGTGAAGGTGGTGGGGGGAGGGTCTTCCGACCTAGTAGCAACGACACTGCTTATAGTAACATTTTTTATTACTACTTAAATAATATGTTATTTCAATTTAAGTAAACCCAGTGGGCATGTATTCTCTGGGGGACGTCCGTTTGACGTTTTATGGACGTCCGTGAGACGTCTGAAGCATGTCCTCCGGATGACGCATGCCCACTTGGATAATACATACAAATAATCTTACCCATATACAAATATACTCAAAAGTTTTCGATCACCATTCAATACAAGTAAAACCGGTTACTAATATTACTTTGTTTTTTAACAGCACTCTCGCGTGCTTATTACGCTTATCAACCTCAGTATCTTGGGCAAGCGTTGTTAGTGGAAATGCATCAGTAAAAAAGTCAGAGGAGCAACTACATAATATGAATGTTGCTGCTGCCAAAACAAAAGAAAGAACAAAACGAGAAAATAGTTTTATAGTTTTTGGAATTAATGCATCAAAAGATTTAAACACAGCAAATGCTAAAGATGAAGACAGAAAAATGATTGTTGATGTGTTTAAATCAATAAACCCAAAGATTGAATCTAAACAAGTTATAAAGCTCAAAACGAAAACTGATAAAGAACCGCTTTGTGTTGTTATCCTTAACAATAAAAACAAACGGAACTTTATTTTAAAAGCGGCAAAAAACTTAAAAAATTCGAGCAAGTTTAGCAATGTTTTTATAAATCCTGACTTAACCGAGGCTGAAAAATACAATGCTAAATTATTAAGAGATCAGTATAAAAAAAAAAAATTTAGAAAATTTACAACCTTTGGTTTTCAATTATGTAAACCAAAGGTTTATACGTAATAACAAAATTGTTAAAATTGTACCAAACCAAAGGTAATATACGTAATAACAAAATTGTTAAAATTGTTAAATAGCAATCACTTATAAATAACCGGAAATCAAAAGAAATTAATTACGAGTCATTAAATTTTATGGAATATAAAAATGTGTACAATAATGGTAGCATTTCACCAGAATAAAGCTCAATTAGTCAAGACAAAAAAGTAAAATCCAGTTTAATAAAAGTTAATAATAATCTAGAGTTGATAATATGGTATACAAACGCAACATCTCTTAATAATAAAAATGACGAGTTAAGATTTCTGGCACATATTTATGAACCGGATGTAATCTGTGTCGCAGAAGCATGGTTTACCGTTGGATCGGATGTTAACATAATCAATTATAACATTTTTAGAAAAGATAGGCTGAAACATGGAGGTGGAGTTTGTATTTACGCAAAAAGCAACATAAATTCAATAGAAATTACTAGTAAGCAACTAAATTGTAGTGATACCCAGTGGGAAAAAAGACATCTTTAGACAAATAAAAGGCGTCTTTTTTATGACTTGTTATGTCTTTTTATAATCAGCCAAAATAAAGACGTGGAAAGACGTCTTTTAAAAAGACGTCTTCAAAATAGAGGTCAAAAAGACGTCAATCGGTTGTTAATAAGGAAATCATTATTTGCTTCAGAAAATTAAAAATAATTATTGCCAATAGAACCTAAAAAAATTGGTTTTAACTCACAGTATCGCAATTACGATATCTTTGTTACGTTCTGATTGGCCCGTTTTTTGTTTACAAAATACTTTTATATAACTTTTATGTGAAACGTTTTTGCATAGGAAATTTAATTAAAAATTAACTTTTTTCGGTAAGCGGGTTTATTTAATAATTTATATAATAAAGTAATATATTATGTAAAATATACATAATGCAAATGCATATATATTTTATAATATATTTATATATATATTTTATAATATATATATATATATATATATTTTATAATATATATATATATATATATATACATATATATATATATATATATATATATATATATATATATATATATATATATATATATATATATATATATATATATATATATATATATATATATATATATATTTATATATTTATATATATATATATATATATATATATTTTATAATATATATATATATATATATATATATATATATATATATTTATATATATATATATATTTTATAATATATATATATATATATATATATTTTATAATATATATATATATATATATATATATATATATATATTTTATAATATATATATATATATATATATTATAATATATATATATATATATATATTTTATAATATATATATATATATATATATATTTTATAATATATATATATATATATATATATATATATATATATATATATATATATATATATATATATATATATATATATATATATGTATATATATATATATATATATATATATATATATATATATATATATATATATATATATATATATATATATATATATACATACTGATACTTCTTTTTTCTATAATGGTTTTCAACATGATGGCATATACACCTTTTTTTAAATTAATAATAACTTATTAATTAAAAATAATCGAAGCATAATACTTTAAGATAACATGGATGATATTCCATAGTTTTTACTGTCTAAATTTCTCATTTTTAGCAAAAATCGACATACGTCCCTTTTTTATAATGGGTGCAATTTAATTATCTATAAATGTTGTATTTAGAATCTGAATATGAAAGTACTATACCATCAGCAAAAGAACCATTGGCTTACATGTCTGGCGGTTAGTCTTATTAAATCCCATGTTTCTTTGAAACCATTTGCAATGTGATTTGTTTGCTGTAAACTAGGCTCATCATGTTATTTTTTATATTTTATGTTATTCAAAAACTTCTTCAGTCAATTTTATATTATTAACTGATTGACCTTTTTTTTCGGTCTTCGGCGTATTCGAAGCAAGATGGCCTGATTTCAATTTATCAACTAAAGACACATTTCCAACTTATATCCGCTTAAATCCAGCTAATCACGTAATCCAATAATCTAAATATAAAAGCTATTTCTCCTAATTCTATTTCTCCTAACTAATTCTATTTTTCCTAACTAATTCTATTTCTCCTAACTAATTCTATTTCTCCTAACTAATTCTATTCCGAAAACTCAAATATGTCTGAACTATCAATGGCAAATATCAAATCCCTCCTAGATAATCAAAAAATGAAATTCTACTTGCTATCAATACAAATCTGATAAAAATAACTAATGGTATTTCTGAACTGAAAGCTACATATGCTGATATTAAAACTACAGTAGCTAAGAACACAAAAGATATTACTGAACTACGTAATCAACTCCTCGACTTATCCAAAAATAATAAATTACTTTTGGAAGAAAATGAAAAATTAAAAAAGGACTTAGATGACCAGGTTAACAGAAACCTAAGGAAAACACTTATATTTAAAAATATCCCTTATGAAAATAAGAGTCCTGGAATGACACAAAAAATATTGTGGCTAATACTATTGCCAAAGCAGCGAATGTAGATCCAAGATCTATTCACGAAATGATTGAACGCTGCCATCGTGGAAAAGTTACTAACCGCCTTAAACCAAGTCATGTTTTTTTTAAATTTCACAGATGGTCCGATAGCGAACATACTAAAAGAGTGTTTGCAAGACCCATCAACAATATACGAGTTGAGCAGATGTATTCGAAATCACTAACTTATCGCCGCAATGAAGCAATGAAGGAACGTCGAAGGTTAATTGAAGAAAAATCAATCGTAAGCACATTCCTTGAATATCCAGCTGTATTAAAGGTCAAATATAAGAAATCCGACAAATATTCAACAACAAAATCGTTCTAAACCTACGAATATCTAAAGGTTTATTTTCTTATTTATTTTGTTATTTAATGTTATTTATTCATGTTTACGCCGTATATATTTATTTATTAGCGCACAGTTCTTTTTATTTGTTTATACTCAATACGCAATTTTGCGTACATACAGTTATAAAAATTATAAAAAATTATATAATAAAAAAAAAAAAAAAAAAAAAAAATGTGCGTTTTAAGCATAAAAAAATTAACGACTTTTCAATCTTAACAAAAATGTGCGATTAGTTGATAAGTATACTCAAGGTCAGATTGCTTTCAATCAATTGTAAGAAAGCTCACTTACCGTGTTGTTTTTGTTTTTGTTTATTATTTATTATTATTTTAATATTTACTTTTTTAATACTAATATTATTCATCACTTTTCTTAATCTTTAATAGGCTGCTGCTACTTACGTTTATATTAATATTGTTACTTATATATCTTATCGCCATAACCATTCACCGTAATGAAAACTACAAATAGCAGATGTGCTGTTTGCAATGTAAATGTCAATAAAAATCAGAAAGCTGTCTTTTGTGATAGCTGCCTTAATTGGGTCCACCTAAAATGTAACAATCTCAATGATATTGATTACCAAATACTAAAAAATTCCTCAAAAAATTATTCTTGGTTTTGTATAAATTGTTTAGTCAGTATCTTTCCCTTCAATAAAGAAACTATAATTGACAACGAAAATCTTACTAATGTTGACACCAAAGTAAAAGAGATTTATCAAGTATCAGATTTCCCTATTTACTCAATCTTTAACACATTTAATACACATGTTGATAACAATAGCAAATCCCAAAATCTCCCAATAAACAGTTATTATACTAATGTTGATGATTTAAAATCTATTGCAGCTGACAAATCCTCATTCAATGTATTTCATATCAATATCTCATCACTCTCGAAACATTTTGACGACTTTGAAAATCTACTCCAATCAATAAAACTTGAATTTGACATAATTGGTTTATCAGAAACCAGATTGAATAAAAACAGGCCTCAAACTAGCAACATAACACTTAATGGGTATTCCCATGAACACACACCATCTGAATCACATGCAGGTGGTGCATTATTATATATAAATAATAGGATCGCCTATAAACCCAGAAATGATCTCCTCATCTATAAACCAAAAGAGCTAGAATCTATCTTCATTGAAATCATAAATCCAAAAAAATCAAATATTATTGTTAGCTGTATCTACAGGCATCCAAAAATGTCTTTGGACAACTTCTTATCCTTCTATCTTAATCTTTTACTCAAAAACTTAACAAAAGAAAATAAAACTATATTTATTTTAGGAGATTTTAGCATTGATTTGTTAAAATGTGACACAGATTTATATGCAAAAGACTTTTTAGACTCACTCACCTCAAATTACATTCTTCCTCACATTATCCACCCTACTCGTATCTGTAAAACATCAAAAAACATTAATTGACAATATCTTCTCAAATATTAAATCAAATAAATATAAAGCTGGGAATCTTACCACCACTATCTCAGATCATCTTCCCCAATTTCTAATAGCTTATAATGTTCTTAAACCACCACCTAGCAAAAAACTCCTAACCCAGGAAAGAAACTGGAAAAGTTTCAATGAAGTATCATTTAAACACGATTTTCACAAAACTATTATAGATAAAGAATCAAAAATATACCCTGATAACTGTACTCAGTCTCTCGAGAATACTATCTCCAATATTAATTTGTTGCTTGATATCCACGCGCCTTTTAGAAAGCTTAACAAAAAAAAAAATTAAATTCAAGACTAAACCATGGATATCTGATGAACTCAAGCACTCTTTACAGCACAAAAACAAGCTCTTCAAAAAATATATTAGGTCTAAAAATCAAACAAATAAAACCATATTCCACAATGAGTATAAAATATTTCGTATTAAACTCCAATCTAAACTCAAAGAAAGCAAAAAAAAATTCTTTGATAATTATTTTACTGAAAACATAAAAAATATAAAGGCAACCTGGAAAGGTATCAAAAACATCATTAATATTAAAAGCAACTCTTACACAACTCCTAATGTAATCGTACATAACAATATAACAATAACAAACTCCTTTGATATTTGTAATACATTCAACAACTATTTTACTGGCATTGGTAGGGATGTCCAGGCAACAATTCCTTCATCCATGAACCATTTAACATATTATTTATCAAATCCTGCTCAAAAATCTTTCTTTATAAAACCTACTGACGAACATGAAATCTCAAAAATTATCAACTCTTTAGACTCAAATAAAGCTTCTGGACCAAATGGTCTACCAGTTAAAATTCTAAAACTATTAAAAACTGAACATTCAAGAATTCTTTCTAACATTTTTAATACCTCATTCTCAAGCGGTATTTTCCTAGAAAACTTAAAAACTGACAAAGTTATACCTATTTTTAAAAATGATTCAAAACTAATAATGTCAAACTATAGGTCAATTTCTCTCCTCTCCAACATTGATAAAATTCTTGAAAGGCTAATGTTTAACCGCTTATACGAATACTTTAATAAAAATAAACTGTTTTGTGAGCTACAATTTGGTTTTTGAACAAACTACTCTACATCACTTGCTTTACTAAGTCTAACAGAAAAAATTAAAAATTCTCTAGATGAAGGAATGTTTGGATGTGGTATTTTTATTGATCTTCAAAAAGCATTTGACACTGTAGGTGTTGACATTCTACTCTATAAACTATCCTACTATGGTATTAGAGGAGTTTCAAACTCCTGGTTTAAATCTTTTCTAACTAATAGAACTCAATTAGTATCTATTGGTGGAGTGAACTCAAACTTAAACAATATCAAAGTAGGTGTTCCTCAGGGATCTGTCCTTGGCCCTTTGCTGTTTCTTATTTATATAAATGACATGTCTAAAGCATTAAAATTTTGTCGAGTCCAACACTTTGCAGATGACACAAACCTTCTCTACTTTAACAAAATCTGTAAAAAAAATCAACAAATATGTTAACTATGACCTTAAGAAACTATGCAATTGGCTTAATGCAATCAAAATTTCCCTCAGCTCCAAAAAAACTGATTTAATATTATTTAAAAGTTCCCACAAAAAATTAGACCAGCAGATCAAAGTTAAATTAAATGGGAAAAAAATTTGTTGTAAAAAATTTGTTAACTACTTGGGTATAAAGCTAGACGAAAACTTAAACTGGGCTTATCATTATAACGATATCTCTAATAAGTTGAATAGATCCCTTGCCATTCTATCAAAGACGTTTTATTAAACAAAAAACTTTAAAATCTATTTACTATGCTTTATTTCACTTCTACCTCACATATTGCCTTTTATCATGGAGTCAAAATATGAGTATTATTAATCGCCTATTTATCATGCAGAAAAAAGCAGTCAGAGTTATTGAATTTCTTCCAAAATATTCACATACATCCACATCTTTTAACACATTACATATCTTAAAAGTATATGATTTAATCAAAATTGAAAACTGCTTATTTATTCACAGCTGCCTTAATAAAAACTGCCTCCTATATTTGATGAATGGTTTACTCCACGCAGTGCAATTAGCAGTCGATTTACAAGAAATTCTTGTAGCGGTGCACTGAGTGTGCAAACATAATACAAAATCCTATAGTAAACAATCCTTTAAATACTCTGCATTAATGAACTGGAATCAACTTCAAAATAAATTAAAAACAATCCCTTTTTGCAATATTAAAAAATATACTCTCAAAACTAAATTAAAATACTACCTGATACATCATGATAAATTAAAACAATAAATGAATCGTTGGTAATAAAAGATTTATGACAATAGAAGTTATAAGAGATATGATATAAATATGAATGTTAAATAATAGCAACCTTATGTGAATGTATTAGCTAGCTTGTTTTTTTTTGTTTGTTTTGTTTGTTTTGTTTTTGTTTTTTTTCGTTTTTGTTTTGCTCATGGTCGCTCTCCTTGATTTAGCCAGGCTATATGAGAGTAAACCATCCAGAATATAGACTATGCATACTTTTTTTTATTTATATTTCATAACATGCTTATTGTAAAACATCTATATTCTTGGTAAATATATTGCCTTTTGTTATTATATTCTTATTTACTATATTCTTGGTAAATATATTGCTTTTTTTTCAACATCTATATTCTTGGTAAATATATTGTTGTTATTGTTGTTGTTGACCTTAATATAATACAAGGGTTGAACTAAGAGAGCGAATTACAATTTTTGTAAAAATATCTGGTCTTCAAAGTTTCAGTTGATGGAAAATCATGAATTTATGGAAGAGGCTTTAATTTGTTAGGTGAACTAGCTACAAATGAAACTTTGAAGACTAGATATTCTATAACTCTAGACTTTTTATCTAGATGATATATAGATAAATTATGATTAACTAGATAGTTTTATAATTTGTGATCGTTTAATTTAACCGTTTTAAGATAATTAAAATTTTTTTTCTTGTTAATAAAAATAATTATTTCTGAGTATAATCTTTTGACCAATCTCCTGCTAATATTCTTGACTATCATTCATATGTCATATTTATTATTAATTTTTCTCAGAAACAGCTGTATTTCCAATTGAACCGACATTTTTTTAAATATATATAAATATATTTTATATACATTGTATTTTTCGACATTGTATTTTTTATTTTAGTTACAACAATAATTATACTTTCGTAAGAATAATTATACTTTTGCAAGAGCCGTAAATTGCTCCCGTAAACCGTTTTAGGGGAGTGTAGGACGAAAGCAAGAGCTGAAGCTCTCGCTTCTCGCCGAGGCCTGTATATGTATATATATGTATATATATATATATATATATATATATATATATATATATATATATATATATATATATATATATATATATGTATATGTATAATTGTATATGTATATACATTATATGTATATATATTATATGTATATATATAACTGTTGCTGCTAAGGATCAACTTAAGCAGTATTTATTTGAGTTATCAAAATGTGTACATTGTCAAGTTTGAACTTCTGAAAAGAGGCACCTATTAAGTTAATAGGTGCCTCTTTTCTTTTTCCTCTTTTTTGTGTGTGTTAAGACTTAATAGTATTAACCCACAAAAAACTTGGACGAAAACTGCTAAATGACTCAAGTTTTATTGTAGCGCATCTAACCATTTTGCAGCTGTAGGACACGAGGATAGTGCTTTTATATAAGATGTTTGTTTAAGTTCAACAATGTGAACGATTTAGATTAATCAAATAAGCACTACGTTAAAAGAGGCATGTTTTAAGTATAATGATTTTTAGCGGCAAATTGAATGTTATATCTTAATATTTTTTTATTTAAAGTATATTACCATGCTGCATAGAAAGCTTGAAATAATTAGAAATTGTTTAATAATATTTCTGTAAATAACTTGATCCTTTTCAGTGATAATTTATATCTGCATATAGTTATTTTTAGATCCCTTTGAAAAGCTACGGTTTCCACTAAGCCATGCTGGTAAGGTTATTTTAAGGTCTAGTTTTTTAGATTTGATATTTATTTTTTGACTTTTTTTTTTCTATTCACAGAAATTCAATGGAATTCTTATTTAGTTAAACTTTTAAAAATGAAAATCCTTTCAAAAACTATTCCAGTGTAAAATGTGTTGAATAGGTTTCTTATTTTAAATGCTAGAAAGGAGAACTATAGAATTTAAAATAATAAATCAAGGCTTCTACGAGAATTTTTATTTGCACAAGATTTTTTATCTTATTCCGTTTCAGAGTACCAAAAACTGTCACTTGGTCTCTTGTGGGAGATAAAAAAAAACTTCGTAAATTGTAAAAGGATAACCATGCAATAAAAATGATGGCAACGATGGAAGATTTTAATGCCTTTGAAAGAGAGTTGTTAGACGAACAGAAACGTTCAATCATGGTGTTTGTTATATTTTTTTAATGTCTAATTTTTTGATATTGACAACTATAATAATAATTTTTTGATATTGACAATTAAGATTGAAAAGTTATGCATTTTCCAATATATTGTGATTTTAGTAATAAAATTTTATAAGTAAGGTGAGAGAACCTCACTATAACCAGAAAGCTGTTTTTAAACATCGTTGCTATAGTATTTATTATTGTGTTATCTTTCAGAGAAAATCTTTACGTCAAGTCTGTGGTTTGGATGCGAAAGACCAAGTAAAAATGATACTGGAAAGGTACATTTTCTTTTAGCTAAACAACATTTCAGCTCTCTAGTCATTATTTTTGTTTATGTGTGATTCATCTGTGTTGATAATGATATCGCCTGTTTTTATAATTTTATGTTGTTAGGTAAAGCATCATTATGATTCAGGCTAATATTGAGCTTTGAGCAATAGGTTTATCTAGTTTAAATAAATAACAACTCTCAAGGTGTATTAGCTGAAATATCTTTTCGTTTTTGATAGTCCTTAGTCAATAACGAATTTCTAAATTGTTATGGGTCTACAACACTTAATTTCAACAAAATTAATTTAAAAAGTTACGTCATAGAAGACAAGAAAAATATCAACATCTGTTTTTGATAACTTGTCTTTTATAGCAAATCTGAGAGGTGCAAATGCTTAATTTGCTTTAAGCACTACATAATATAATACATCGTTGTACATTCATTTTGATAATAATTAATTTCTTTAGCATTCTCATTTATTATACTTTTAGACTGTTTACCGTTGGACTTCTGTCCTAATTTAACTTAGTGGGGACAAAAAGAAAGGACCGCGGTGGAAATAAGAGGGGGTTGAAAGGATCAGCCATTTTTGAATTAATAGTCGGTAAGTCTAATGTGTTTCACTCAGCTGATAAAATTTCATTTGTTATTTTATATTACAATAAAATAAGTGACTGTTTTTTATGTTCACTCATTTTTTAGAAGTCGCAGCCAGCTCGTATAAAAAGACTTCTCGACGAGAAATAGTTAATTTTATTCAGAGAAAGCTGAAGAACGCCCCTAATCAAATCGGGAGGTTGCGTAGGCAACAACGCCAAGAAACAGAGGAGAAAGCTCAAGAAACAGAGGAAAAAGAGGAAGGTGAAAATAATGTAATATTTGGAGATGAATCTGCTGATGACTCTTAATTTATTTAACTTAATTTAACTTAATTCATTTAACTCTTAATTTAACTAATATATTCTGCTGAACAATACTGCTGTTTTATTTATAAATAATTCTCCTATGTTTAAACCTATAAAAGATAAAGAAAATGCTTCCTCTTTTATATTGAATTCTAAAAGAGGTTTTTTTCTTGGCACCTTCCGACGTCAAGAAGAAAAACTTTTTTAGATGTGTATAATTTGATAATTATGATTAACAAATAAGATTAACGCATTTTTTATGCCTTATCATGACAAGCTAAAAACAAAAAAGACGTCTTTTCTATGTCGAAAAAAGATGTTTTTTAGATTTGCATAATAGACTAAAAAAAGACGTTTTAAAGTCGCATTTTTTATGTCTTTTTATAATAAGATAAAAACAAAAAAAGACGTCTTTTCGATGTCAGAAAAAGATGTCTTTTAGATTTGAATCATCGACTAAAAAAAGGCGTCTTAAAGACGCATTTTTATGACTTTCCATGACAAGATAAAGACAAAAAAAGACGTCTTTTCGATGTCAAAAAAAGATGTCATTTAGATTTGCATAATCGACTAAAAAAAGACGCCTTAAAGACATCGTAAATAAGACTTTTAAAGACGTCTTTTCGACGTCTTTTTACCCACTGGGTATTGAACAGATATGGACTTGTTTATGCTTTGGTAATCAAAAAGTACATATATATCGACCACCATTAGCAACTCAGGATCGTAGCGGTACCGTTCTGGGGTCGATAATTTTTTTCTAAATTGAGTATTGATCGTAAAATATTTAGTGATTTAATTATTAACAATGATTTTAACTATAACACGATTGATTGGTCCGAAAATTAATTCTCAATTCTCTCCTACTGAGAGTGATTCTCAAGCTATTAAATTTATAGATTGTCTTGAAAATTGCTTCTTATATCAATGCGTTAGTGATCCAACTTACCAAAAAGCAAACTTTGAATCAAAAAATATTTTGGATTTTCTTATTACTAATGATAAAGAAAAAGTCTGTTCTATTGTTCACTCATCCCCTTTAGGTGATGCAAAACAAGGCCATCATTTATTAAAATGCAAGTATATACTAAATGAACCTAATCTGAGTAATGAACTTAAGAAGCCTATAAAATTGTAAAGGTAATTACAAGTTATTTTCAAAGTATATTGCAAATGTCGATTGGGTTAATTGCCACTGATCAAATGGCTATTGCTGAAGAATTTAATAAATATTTTTATTCTGTATATGTAGAAGATAAAGATGTAAACAAAAATATTGAGAACTGTCAACTAAACACGATATTAGAAGCTGTTGAGATAACACAAAATGATATAGAAAGAAGATTAAAGGCTCTTGATATATCAAAATCAATTGCAGTTGATTTAATACATCCTTTTGTTCTAAAACAATGCAGTTTATCAATTTCATATCCTCTTTATTTAATATTTAAAAAATCTACAGAAGATGGTACTGTACCAGATATTTGGAAGATGGCTAATATAACGACTATATTGAAACAAGGGAGTAAGTTGAAACCAACAAATTACAGACCAGTATCTCTGACGTCAACACCATCCAAAATATTAGAAAGAATAATTGCTGATAATATCATCAAGCATTTAATAACAAACAAGCTATTAGCAAAGGAACAGTATGACTTTCTAAAAGGTAAGTGTTGCACAACGAATTTACTAGAGTTTCTTGATACCTTAACAAGTGCATTATTATAAGGTATTCCAATTGACATTTTGTATACCGACTTTCGAAAAGCATTCGACAGAGTATCACACATAAAATTATGTGCTAATGTTTATGCATCCGGTATTGTTGGTATGCCTCTTAAATGGATTAAATCATTCTTATCGAATAGGAAACAACGAGTAGTGGTGGGAAAATGCAAGGCAAACTGGGTTGATGTATTAAGTGGAGTACCACAGGGTTCTGTACGTGGCCCACTCCTTTTTTTGATATTCATAAACGATTTTCCAATAAATTTTAAATTTAAATATATTTTAAATTTAGATAAATTTTATTATTTGCACTTTGGTGCATGTAATAAAAGATATTCTTATTTCATGAAAAATGATGGCGAACTAAAAGAAATTGAAAAATCTACTCTTGAAAAAGATTTAGGAATGCTGCCAGTAAAGCAAACAATATGCTTGCAATATTAAATAACACTTTTAGATATAAAGATAAGTACTTCATGAAAATGATTTATTGCACGTATGTTAGACCTCATTTAGAGTTTGCGATTCGAGCTTGGAATCCCTATTATGAAAAAGATTTCAAAGAACTTGAAAAAGTTCAAAGAATAGCAAGTAAATTGATACCAGAGTTAAGACATCTGAGATATAATCAAAGACTAAAAATATTAAATTTAATAACTTTAGAAGTTCGAAGACTAAGAGGTGACCTTATACAACAATATAAATTATATAAAGGTTTTGAATCTATTAATATGAAGAAAGTCCAGATACAAATACATTCAATCAATACACCAGGTCTAGCATCCAATACTAGAGGTTATAAATATCGTGTTAAATCAAAGTTTGTTAAAAATTGTTTAAGTAGACAACACTTCTTTAAAAACAGGGTTGTCTTTGGATAGAATAATTTACCGGAATCGGTAGTGGAGTCTACATCAGACATAATAACAAAATAAAAATCGAAATAGGTTTTTCAAATAAACCATATTAAGTGTTTATAAAAATTAATGTAGGCTATGCTTAACTTAAAACGCTTTTTGTTGGTAATATTTCCAGTCAGCGCAGTGGGCTAGGTGGTGGACAAAACCTAAAAAAGAAATATTTATTGTTTTCAAAACCATATAATATAACATGTTTGTAATACTCTAATTTAAAATACTTTAATTTTAATTTAAAACCATATAATATAACATATTTGTAATACTTTAATTTTTAGAAAACTTAGTAAGAAGTTTTATAAATAAAGATGTTTTCGCATTAAATTAATACTTTTCGTCAGCCATTATGGTTGTTTACTTTCTGCAATTGCAGCAGCACAATTGGCTATAATAATATTTATTAGTTTCCGATTGGCTAATAAATGTTGTTGCTTTAAAAGACTTCAACAATATTTATAAACACATTTTAGTAATAACAGCGATTTTATTTAACTAATTAAGTAAAAAACTTATATACTTGAATTTAAGAGCCGATTAAAAAATATAGGAACTATTTCTCAAGAATAGAAAAGAAATGCCATAACTTTGCTAAAGATCATAACGAGTTTTTAAAATACTTTTGCATATGCTGTATGGAAAAAAAAAATTATTTAAGATGGATTTAAACCAAATTCAAAAAAAGGTCCAAAACATGCAAAAAATTATGAAAATCTTATCCAGAGATGTTTTTGGAAAAACAACTCTGCTGACAACCCTGATCTACCTAAAATTGCAGAAAAAATCTAGTGAGTTTAGAGAAAATCTAGTGAGTTTAGAAAAAATGTAGTGGGTTGATAGAAAACAGATTCAAAAAGATTTTTATTCAACGCTCAACATAAGTACAAAGGTAAGTTTTATAAAAAAATAAGCCAATTAAAACCAATTAGGTTTTTCATTATAATTGTTCTGCTTATAAACAATATTGTGTTTGCACTAAAAAATAAGTTCTTATTACTTTTAGGTTTTAATACTAGGGTTAGTCGAGGCGGGATGTGTGAGTGTTTTATTTGTGTTAATGGACGTAAAAATGGTACTGAAAAAGCAACGTTTCCACCAATGTTTATCATGTAAAACTAATACAGATATTGATCATAATCACAGTAATTTGAATCTTTCTACAACCTATAAAAAT